TTTCGCATTTTTTATCTAAATTTTCAATTATTATCAATACTGATTTAGATTTGTTTCGGAGTTCAACAATATTTATGGGAAAATAATTTTGACATTCTTAACATGGTGTATGATTACTGTGTGTGGCACGCTGCTAATGATTCAAATTCAATTGGTTGAGTATTTCATATATTTTATATTTAATTCAATCCAAAATAAAGGAGTTGGTGATTTTTCTTCATATGAAGTGAGTCTACTGTCAAACGTCAATATATTATCGAACCCTTCTATGAAATGTACAGTGGCGCCACTTTTTGGTACTAAGTAATTCCATAGAAGGGTTCGATAAAATATTGACATTTGACAGCAGACTCACTTTTTTACGAAGTTCTTTCTCTTACCTATTTGTTATATTGGAAATTCAGTCACAAGACCCCGTAGACTGGCCAGCGCTTCTGATTACCATCTGGCAATTATTTTGGACATTTGCTTTTTTATTCTTATATTGTTACCGCGGCGAAGAAGTAAGCTCTGCATTTGAGGAACTGGCTGATGAGATTTCTCAATGTGAATGGGACTCGTTTCCATACCAACTACAACGCATTCTACCCACTGTTTTGATTGCTGCCCAAGATTCTGTCCAAATTAAAACATATGGTTACGCTTGTACACATGATAGATTTAAAAAGGTAATACTGTAAAGGTGTAAATATCGAATTGGATTTAAATTAATGCGAGTTAAATTAACATTTTTACAGATTGTCAACGGCGGTTATTCATACTACGCTATTCTCCGTGAGTTCTACTGAGTGAATCAATCGATGTTGGATTTTTATGGAACTTAACTATATTGGATGACAAATATGTTTTTGAAAAAGAAAAAAAAATATTTTCAATGCACTTTGCATCTTACACATATTCGCACATATTTTATTGCAAACTTTATAAATTAACACAAAACTAGATATATTAATAGAATAAATTACATTGATTCGACCATATTTTGACAATTTGTTGTTTTGAGCTATCAGATTCCGCCATTTTGATTTTTTCTGACACTGAAAGATTCACAAAGATTCAAATTTATCAAGAATGTGATGGAAGATCTTTGGGAATTTTGGATCAAAAAAGATTCATAAAGATTTAAAATATCTCCAAGGCAATAAATAGTAGAAATTCATTGTCTTTCAATTCTATTTTTGTTATTAATCATGGCGAAACTGATTCGATTTATTTATTATTGCATTAGTAGGGTAATATGATTATTGTCAACTATAGTTGGCTGCTACAGTTAACCATGGTTTATTTTAATTAAGTTAAACAAACGGCTTACCAAATTTAACTAGGAGTATTTATTTTCACAGTGCCAAAACACTCAGTCACTTTTTCTGCTCACAGATATTCACTAATCATCTATTTACTAATTTACATTTTAGAATATGAATAAATGAATAATATGTTAAATATTCAAATAAAAACCATAAATCAATAAAAAGCATTTTATTTACAAACGATTTTTGTATTTAATTTGGAAATCCATCAACCATCTTGAGTACAGTATAAAAATGGGACGAAATGGGATAAGTAGACTAAAAAAGATTAGTTTTACATTATAAATTGTCTTCTACAATTCTTATATATATATATATATATATATATATATATATATTATTTTCTTCGAATATATTCAAGTCATGCCAATCGTAAAACTGGAAAATAAATAGCTTCATCTGTTACGATCCCATTATTAATATAAAAATAATTGATGATCAAATAAATAAGTTCCGTTGTTTAAATAGTCCTCGTCAATTTTGATATGGAACATAATGGAACCTCTGCGACGTTTACAAACTAAATAGAACAAGCCAAATACGAAACATATGCACTTTTCATACTCTATTCTCAGCAATTTAATCATCATTTATTCTATGACGCAGTGCATTTATTATTAATCCAAATATATCCTTACGTAACCGATGCACTCCAACATTAATTGAAACATAGATTTAGTTTTCGCTAAAAAGCTCTCGAAGATCGTCGAATCTCTCTGAACATATAACAATTACATTCGAAATTTGTGAAAAAGATTTTTCGTTTAATCAAAATGAAAAATTTCCAAATACTTATCAACCTATATGATTTTCTGGGAATGAGAGATTCTAAGTCGCCGGATAAAAAATTGAAATTTTTCAATATTCCAAATTTAACAAACATCTTTTTTCTCACCACATTCATCATTCAATCAACCGCATTTTTTCTTATCGACGCTAAAACCTTCACTGAATATGCCAACTCAGGTTATATTTCCGTGACGGTGACATTTGTGGCAATATTCATGATCTCATTTACTGGGAAATCTGAAGAAATCTTTACATTTTTTGAAGGCGTCGAAAGTGCTGTACAAAAACGTAAGAATTACATATGCTTTCTGTTGTATTGTTTAATATCGCTCAATTTCACATTTTAATAATTGATATAGGTTCGGTAAATGTTTCGTCGGCGGAAGTTTTTATGGAGTCTATAAATGGAATTGAACGTTTTTTGAGATTGCTTGATCATAGTTTTCACATAACGTTTGCATGCTTGATGCTACCAAATCTCAGTTTCATGTTGTACATGATTTTTACTAAAGATCTTGAACCCGAAGATTACATACTACCTTTTTATGCCTGGTAAGTTTTGGTTTTGTGCACACACCTATTTATGCATTAGGCGTATTACAATAACCTAAATAGGTATCTAGATTGATATTGCTAAGTTAGAAACAAAAACACACTTGATCTAGTTTATATTTTGAATTTCGGAACATTCGAAAATTGTTAGAATATGAGCGGATGGAAAATTAAAGTATTGTAACTTGCTTTGTAATTGCACCGAAATGACTGAATTTCACCTGAAAGTCTTTTGTTACGGAGAACTTGTTACTGACTTAAACCACGGTACTTAAAACCATATGTGTCCATGGGAATAAAAGTGGCAATACAAAAACGGAATCTCAAGAACGTCACATAATTTTTTTTACGTAGTATCGAAGCCTGATCATGCCCGTAACTAACAACACCTCTAATGCGTATTCCGAGTACTAATCGAAGTTTGTGACAATATGGCCGTCACGGTTTGGCAAAATCATAATGAATCGATTAAACTGTAGAAAAAAATAGATTTTAATTTTTTACATTTTTGAAAATCTTTTGTTTTTTAATTTTGTGGAATTTTCTGTCCACAATATTCAAAAATATTAAATCAATAAAAATGAATAAGTTGACATAACCTCACTTTTGTGTCACAATGGTGATAAACCGATTAAATAATTATTAAAACAGTAAAAATAATTTTTTTTTCCTTTTTTTCATTTTTAAAAATAAAAATTCTTTGTTTTGTTCTGTAGTTTCCGGCAGTTTCGTGAGATTTACTGCACAATATTCAAAAATATTAAATTAATAAAAAATGAAGTGGTTGACATAACCTCACTTTCGTTTAAGTAATTATTTGATCAGTTTGTCACGATTGTGACACAAAAGTGAGGTTATGTCAACCAATTCATTTTTATTAATTTAATATTTTTGAATATTGTGTACAGAAAATCTCAAAAAATTAAAAAAACAAAAGATTTTTTATTTTCAAAAATGTAAAAAATTAATATGTATTTCTACTGTTTTAATTTAACATTTTAACGCAGTTTAATCGATTCATTATGATTTTGCCAAACTGTGACGGCCATATTGTCACAAACTTCGATTAGTACTCGGAATACGCATTAGAGGTGTTGTTAGTTACAAGGTTTATATAGGAAATCCTATACCATGATCGGGCTTCGCATAGTATAACTCCATACAAAAAAAAAATTATGTAACGTTCTTCAGATTCCGTTTTTGTATTGCCACTTTTATTCCCATGGATACATATGAATCATCTATTAATTGAACCGTTGAGAAACAAAGATACCCTCAGAAAAACACGGAAGACCGCTGAGATGACACTGTCGTATATCCGTACATATTTTGTATTGGTCATTTCAGCGGTCCGTGTTTTTCATACAAGCCGCCCATATAAATGGTGCAAAAGTTGCTCTACAGGGTGGACCAGAATAACTGGAGGGTGTATTTTTGGCTCTAAAAAACACATTTTTGAATAAAATGAAATATATATATTTTTTTCTAGTAGGATTTAACATAAAATTTTAGATTTAGCCTTTGGATTTGATTCTTGCACCATTTTGTTTGATTACCAGCTTCAGACGTGTTGAAAACGAGTCGCACGCGGCACGCATTTCATTCATGGGAATATCGTTCCAAATCTTTACGATTTTCTTTTTGAATGTGTTCAAATTGGTAACCTTCATAATCTTTAGACTATTGAGCTTCGATGTCATGTAGCCCCAAGCAAAAAAATCCAATGGGTTTAAGTCGGAAGACGATGGCGGCCATGAATCTTTGTCAATGAAATCGGCCAAATTTGTTCGTAACCACTGTTGCACTGTTTTAGCTCGGTGTGCAGGTGCGCCATCCTGCTGAAACACCCATGGTTCGTTTCGAAACAATCTCTCAGCTTGTGGCAACAAGTTTTTGCCCAATATTTCTTGTTTATAAAATCTAGCGTTGATTTTTACGTCTTTTTCGATGAAAACCAGAGGGAATTTTCGATCGGCCGAAAATGCGCCCCAAACCATCACTTTTAGAACATTCTGAAAACGTTCAACGGTCTTTTCGTATTCAGGAATGTCTATTGCAGACACTGCGTACACACGATCATTTTGTGCATTGAGACTTGGCTGTAGCAAGAACAACTTTTCATCCGAAAAAACGATATTTGAATTGGCGTGCCGGCGCAACAGTTCTTTGCATTTTTGTTTTCTGGCTTGCATATTTTTTATCGTAAAACCATGTCGACGGCTTTCTTTGAAAGGTGTCGTGTTTAAGTCTTCTTTTAAAACACGTCGCATCGAAGACCGGCTAATATTGTGATCTTGAGCCAGCTTTCTAGCGATTTCGGCGAATTTTGGCTTTGACTTGTTTGATGAGTGCTTTTGTACGAACAGATCTTTTTCTACCGGGTTTCTTTTGTATGTCGACAGTTCCACGTTTCTTGTATCGTTTGATAGTACGTTCAATAAATGTCACGCAAACCTGTTCGTTTTGTAGCTGTTGGAAAATATCAATGTTTCGAAAACCGCATTTGTGCAAATTTAAGATGAGTTGGCGTTTCACATCCATTGTTATTGCGTCTCAAATAAACAATGAATCAAAATACGCATTATTATAATAGTTAGGCTAAGGATCAACAAACATAGCGGTGCAAGGCCGGGTGAATCAAAAGTCATTGTACAGTCGTAAGAATGTTAAGTAAAAACCCTTCAGTTATTCTGGCCCACCCTGTATACCGAGTCTCCGAGAGTTTCATATAAACTTGCCTTGTGACACCTATTGAATAGTGAGAAAAATGGCATTTCGGGCAACCAATAGAAGTTCGAAATTAGAGAGAAACAGTGAAACATTTCATAACAAACTGCATCATAACTTAAGTTGCAGTTTGTTTCTCATTATTTTATTGTTGTTCTCTAATTCTCAACTCTTAAATGTTGACATTTGATTTACATTCCAGTTTAAGTTGAAGATTTTTTCTCAACTTTTCTGAAGGTATCTTTGTTTCTCAACGGTTCAATTGTAAAAATTATGCATCAAGAGCATTTACATTCTGCACATTTATTATTATCAAATCCAAAGGTTACCATTCAACTGGCGAACACCTACTGGTTATGCAATGGCTTTCGTTCTTCAATGTGGAAACGTATATTATTTATTCATGAATTGCATTGCACTTGCTGGAGTTT